TCTCTCTCTCTATTTTCCTCTCTTTATACTGTCCCTATCTCTCTTTTTCTGTCTTTACGACTCATTCTAATTGCCTCTCACTTTCTTGTTTCTCCTCTTTCTGAGTGTTTACTCTCTTTCTCTGTGTCTGGCTCTCTCTTTCTCTCTCTCTCTCTCTCTCTCTCTCTCTCTGTAACCTTCGCCCTTTCTCTCTCGCTCTATTACTGCATCTTTCACTCTCCTACTCTATAGCTCCATCTCATTTTTTCTCTCTCTCACACACACACGAAAGTGAGTCTCTTCTGCAAAGTTCCCCTCTTAGACAACAAACATACAATTTATAGGAATACTTGACTAGCTCTGCATTCCTCTTGTATAGCACAGCATTTTTAACATTCTTAGCAAAGCTTACACAGTCTATCCTTTGTTATCATTCGAAGTGTGGATGTTTAATATCAATTCTCTAACGGGTTAGATCGAACTTAAGGTAATAATTGTGGCAGCCATTCGTATTTGGGTGGCTCACGCCCAGTTTCAGCATTTGGGGCCGCAACATGGGCCGCAACAAGGACCACAGAAAGGACCACAAGGACCGCAACCAGGACCACAACCAGGACCGCAACAAGGACCGCAGCAGGGTCCACAGCACGGACAGCAAGAGGGCCCGCAGCATGGTCCACAGCAGGGTCCACACATGCCGCAGCAAGGTCCACAGCGCGGACTGCAGCAGGGGCTGCAGCATGGCCCACAGCAGCCGCCACAGCAACTGCCGCAGCCTCCGCATGGACCACAACAGGGTCCACAGCACGGGCCGCAGCAGGGTCCGCAACAGCAGGAACCGCAACAAGGTCCGCATCCGCACGGTCCGCAACAAGGTCCACAGCAAGGGCTGCACATCCTCAAATCGCTAACTGAAATCAAAAAGGATCCATTTGAATAGATCCTACGAAATGCATCTCACGTCTTGCGTCTATTGCGCTCACCTTCAACCCGCCAGAGAATTGAATATTGTTTTCGAATTTCGTGTCTTTGTGTATACAAATTTCGATACTATGAATAAACACTGTCAACTTAACATATACTAAAAAGTTCATTTGATATATTTTTTATTTTTAATCTTAAATCATTTTAATAATATATTGTAAAGACCTTCAATATAATTTTATTCATGAAACCACTAAAAAACCTAGTCTAAGTAATTTTTTTAGTAATTCGTCATATAATTTTAAAGAGACAGCAGCAGAGAAGAGTGCACGGTATCTCTAGGTCGAGCACTTTACTATTTACCTCAATTTATTCAGAATCTCCCAGTATTTCGTCTTCCGCATGTTTTCTTTGTGTTGATCTCTTTTGCCTTAGTTCCCAAAGCTTCAATTTGAATCGTAGTACATTCCCAAACACAACGTGTATTTTTCCCCAACAGAATTGGCAGCATTGTTGTGGAATCTGGCAGCAGTTCATTTTCCAAAAAAGAAGAACCAAGTAAAGCCTCTGAAAATTGTCGGAGTGCCAGCTGGCCAAAGGGCAGGACGAAATTTGTGTTTGGCTTTGACAAATCACACACTGCTCCTGTCGTTCAACCGAACGGCGATAGTTCGCATTGATGCCACGCCTACGCCCAAGTACGCCCAGTAGCCAGCCCAGCCTCGCATTCCAGTTGAACCGGCGAAGCTCCAGCTTTTGTCACTGACAATTGAATGGCTTTGATCTTTTCAACGCGCCTTCAATTTTCCCGTGTCGATTGCACTGAGTCCCAAATGTATGAGTGTTACTCTCTCTCTCTCTCTCTCTGTGTGTGTGTGTGTGTGCATTGCCTCTGGCTGTGTGTGTGTGCTTGTGAGCAAATGTCATGCAGGCACTCGTGCGTCTATTTTTCAGCGGCGCAAAGGCGATAGGCGGGACTCACCGATACGGCACTGGCAATGGCATTGGATGCATGAAACCTTTTGTCAATTACGGCGGACGCCAACTCTGCTGTCTCTCTACTTTTTGTGCCACAGCTACATGTCACACACACACACACACACACACACACACACACGTGGGGCCACACTCTCTGACACTGACAGGCATAAAATAGGCAAAAATGGAATGATTGCTGATTTCTGGTGCAGACGAGTGCCTCGGGCAGGTCTCTCATTCTGGCTGACTGAGAGTCGTGTATGGGCAAAACATATCCGCTGTACGCTCAGCACCCCTGCACCCCGTTCCTGCCACGCCCCGGCACTTAAATTGACTGACGCCGGTGACGCTCACCGTCGCGTCGCCCATCAAATGGGACACAGCAATTAAATTGACGTACGAGTTGTCAAACTCAAATTCATTCGCCCTTTTAATTGGGGCACAAACACGGATCAAATCACTTATCTGCGGCCCTCAGGCCATGCCTCATAGTAGATTTAGCATATTGTTTCGAATTTTGGATTTTCCAGCCCACTTTTAGTGACATTTTTAGCCTAACGGTTGATGATGATGATGGCGGTGTTAATGATGATTGATCAACAAAGCCTAAAAATATATGAATCATTATTAAATTCTTAAAATTTATTATTAACTGAGCATATAAATATTTTTTTTTTAATTAATAAGATTATTAAATTTACAATATATTTTAATATAATTTAGAAATAAAAAATATTCAAGCTTAAAAATAAAATTTTCTGCCTCTTCTTTCTTCAATATATTTGTATATTTCATTCCATTTCCATGTTTTAATTCACCTTTATATATTCTTTCAACACTTCATATATTGATTAAATCATTTAATTTATTTCATATCTGTATCACTTAAATAAATATTGATTTTGTGCGCCTATTTGTATGCATCATATTTTGGTTTCCAATTAGTTTAATCCCTGGCTCAGTGCACAGTTTCAAATATGCAATCAAAGATGTTGGAAAAAAAAAAAAATGTTGATAGAAAATCACATTTTGTTGCCCCTTTTGTGGAATTTTTGCGAAAATTTCCATCTGACTGCGCATTGGGGTCAGGGCGAAAACAGATTTCAATTTCAAATGCAAAGAATCGATTTGGCGATACGCAAATTTATAAACAACGCGAATAACTGAAACTGTCAGCTGCAGGCGGCAGTAGCGTCAAAGTCAAAATCGAATTGTCCCACTGGGCGGCCCCATTGTATTACCAAGAAATTAATTTATACCGTAAAGTGGCTCGGCGCACGTCAAAACCGAAGTCAAATGCTGCGCGAGGCGAGCTCTGGACGCAGCGAAACATTCGATTTGGAGCAATTGCCAGTTAATTGGCGATTTCGACAAGCATCATGCGTAGCTAGCTGTGTGCGCCCTGTGCCCAATCGAATCGCGGCACCACCCTGCCCTGCCCACACTCTCTCTGCGGGCTGGGTGGCTGAGTGCCAAATCATCGTCTGTGGCGCTGCCGCAAACAACAATCAATTTTAATGAACGCCATTCATTAAAAAACTTGGCAGCGCAAAAATCAGCAGCATTGTGGGTGGTTGCTGTTGTTGTTGTTGCTGTTGGTGCTGCTGCTGCTGCTGCTGAGTGGTGACGACGCGTGGAAGCCACTTAAACGGCGTTGATTAATTCGAAACCAAAAACTGACAGTCGCCACCAAACAATAGCACAGACACGCCATCTACCGTCACCTGCAGCTCTCTCTCTCTCTCTGTGTATGAGTGTATGTGTGTGCGTGTGTGTCTGATTTTGAAGGTGTGGCAAGTCCTCTCCTGTCTGCCTGGCTGACTTGGCGGTTTTGTTAGGTGACGCGCTGCGGGTTCTCTGTGAATAAGCGTCAAGCGCATATTTGCCACATCGTCAATTAATGTTGTTGTTGTTGCTACTGTTGTTGTTGCTGTTGTTGTTGACATTGTTATTGCCGTTGCCGTTGCTGTTGCTGTTGCTGCCAGTGGCATTGGGGTCTTAATAAAGCGCAAGCAAGCGCAGTTTGTCAATTTCGACTGGCGCATAAAACGTGCCACGAAATCATTTATTCATTTATGTCGAGAAATTTGACTAGGGTAGAAAAATTGGATTAAGGCAATATCTTTTCTAATTGCATTGATTTATTGTGGGTGAAGATATAGCACAGCTCATATAAAATGAATACACTTACACATGAATTTGAACTGTCTGTGTGATAGAATGGAGTTTATAAATTGGTTTGATTGTTAAATTATACATGAGCATAATGCATCAGAATTACTATATTAGATCTTACTGATGATGAAAGAAACTATTAGTTAGTACACATATTTATTGTTCTCTTTCCTGATGCATCGAATAGGTTTTACTTACAGTTCCTATAGATATATGCATAGAGATAGATAAGATATTGATCAGATTGTGTTTGATTATATATGTATGTATTATCGAGTATATTGGTTGGAAGCAAGAGAGTGGTGCCAGATCGCGACAATCCATTAAAGTTTAATTCCAAATTCATATTCATTGAAATCTGAGTTCGAAATCTTCAAAAACTTCAACATTTAATACACAATTAATATATAATTATTGACTTTTCACATTACAATTTAACCACATGTAAAACAGAGTCAAAATATTATTTATATTAATATTATTATGCAGTGAATATTTCTGCTTCGCGAGATATCTTTAAAAGACTGCAATTTGTTTCTGGTATTTTTCATTAACTATCCAGAAAATAATACATACACCTGCATATATGTATATATATATATATGCTTTAGAGCTCAAACTATGTCATGTATAATTGAAATGCTTCACACCTAACAATTGAGCAGCTGTGCGAAATCCTTGTTAAGCTGAGCTCATGCAACTTTAATGTGGCACGAACAGCCACAGCATCCAATAATACAGCTCCACCCCCGGCCCACCTGCGCCGCCCACATGCTGTTAATCACACACCTATTGAAGCGCTTATCTCACGTGTGCTTTCTACGTGACAAAGGCCCCGCCCGAACCGTGGCTCAAATTGCCATTTCGATTAACAGGAATACAACTTATATAAATACATATGTGTATATATTTGGTTTTTCTGCTTTGTCCCAAATCAATTTCAGCATCGCATCCACAAACGAAGGCGGCGGCAACTGCCACGGCCGCCGTCACAGCTGGCTTCGAGGAGCGGGTCGTGGAGGCGTCCTCGTCAGCGGCTCTGGCCTTTCCGGCGGCTCAAGTGTCATCGCTGCTGCCCGAGGTGGGCGCCTTGTCGGCCACTGGGGTCCTGGTGGAGCCCTATCTGGACGGCTTCGCCACATCGAATGTGACCACGCAGATCGGCACACACGCCTATTTGCCCTGTCGGGTAAGTCGAGCAGCCTAATTGGTTTTACTGCTGCCGGTTCGTTTCGTATTTCCATAATTTGTGGTTTGCTTTATTTGATTTTTATTATGTATTGCATGTATTTACTTGGATTGCGTGCTCGAGAGCTGCGTGCATGTTTTTATTTGTAATTATCAGTGCGCCCCGCCCCCAAGAGCCGCCCTCTGTTTGGCCATTAGCATCTCGTCCATAGGAAACGCATTAAATTTTATTGCGTAAATATTTACCGAACGACTCGAGGCATTCGGCCATGAGGTGTGACCGCGTCGTGTATTTAACACAAAGCTGAAAAATAAATGCCACCAATTTATGCCAGCGGGCATGTGAAGGCAGGGCAGCCAGTGGGGCAGGACTAGGGGCGGGCTCTCTGTGTTTGCGCAGGTGTTTAAAGGTCAACGCCGTCGCACAGGCAGTCGAACATGCAAATTGTTTGCTTAGAGCTTGTAAATATTGTATTGCCCCGTATTGCGCTCACCCACGAGCCGCCGAAGCCGTAAGCTCAAATTAAATTTACACAAATTAGTTTTATGGCATTACGTGCTTTGTCCAAATTCAACAAATGATATAATATCCCCTGGGCCAGCATTCATCTGAGCTGCAATCGAAAAGAGCAGAAGGAAATGCCTAGATAAATAAAAACAAATATGTCGGCTAAATTGAAAACTAAATTACGCTTTTGTAGAGCAGTAAAATGCAACGAAAATAAATAAATAATTAAGTCTTTGAATGATGATTAATTAAATTATATTGTATGAGTTATTCTAATGTATTATTATTTTTTTTTATTATTTGCTGTAATGTCATTTAATCAATCAAGTCATATCATTGATAAGGACTTCTAATAGCTTGAAATTGATATATAAAATAAATAAATATAAAATTAATAAAAAAAAAGATATATAAAGAAAGAAATACATAAAAAAAATTGATAAATATATAAATTAATAAAAAATAAAATTAAATAAAAGTAAGCCAAATATAAATATAATATAAAAAATATATAAATTAATAAAAAAAAAATTAGATAAAAGTAAGTAAAATGAGCTTAAAAATATAATATTAATAAAAACAAAAATGAAATAGATATAAAATAAAATAATACAAAATTAATGCATATAAAAGTATTAAATAGTAATAAGTAAAACAAAATATAAAATAAATCCAAAGACTCTCCACAAGTTCAATCAGTTATTAATAATAATAGAAATATGTAGTATTTTATTCCCAGAATCATTGAATGTATAGGAAAAAAATATATTAATTTTTTCTGCTCTCACAGCAAGCATTATTCAAATTAAATGATTATTGGGTCATCTTTTTTCAGATTATATGTCTGCCTTACATACTAAATATCTAAATATCCCCAGGCTGTGCCGCCTGTAACAAGTTGTAATTACCACGCCCACTCCAAGTCATCAATTTCAGACATGCCTTTGCCTTTGGAGCAGCCGCAATAATTGGCTACCAGCTCAGAGCCAATGAGAAAATGAAAGTCAAATTCCGGTCCGTCTGGCAGACAAATTGTGGAATTGGCCCGGCAGAGGCGGCTGCTGGCACTTCAAAGTGTGGCATATATTTAATGCAAGGCAAGGCATGAAGCATCTTGTGCTGTATATTTAACAAAGAGAAGCAATGCTAATTTTTCGTTGTCATGGTCAATTAAGTGCCGGCACACCGAGCACAGCTGCCACATGCTGCCCCAGCATCCATCCCCCAGACCGTTCAATTTGAAAGGAACAAAAAATTAAAAGCTCGCCTCTCGATGTTTGTCAATTATGGGCACTGCCATTCGCTCCACACTCGACGCCCCACGCTGTGGGCGGCGTTGCAGGCGGCTCTTTGTTCAGCTGCCGCATTAAGTGGCACAGTTGAGCGACGTTATGCCTCCTGTCGAGACAACGAGCCAACAAGCCAACGAGCCAACAAACCAACGAGCCAACGAGCCATCGAGTCAACGAGCTAACAAGGAAGCCAACGGCTGGTCGAGTCGCTTTCAAATTTGCGCTCACTCCTGTCGCTGTCAGCTGAAGGACGATGAGTGCCGGCTTTGACTACGCTCAGGTAGCAATTGGGTTATTTAAAGTATTCCAAGCACAGCTTATTGTATTCCCATCCCCCTTTCACCCTCAGCGCATGTGCATGGCAGACTGTTCTTTACTGTGGCTGAGGTCTGAATCGAATGCAACATGAATTTAATTAGAGAATATTTGCACCATAATTAAATCTGTTAGCTGGTGCCCAAATGAGTCCATTACAGTCGAATTACAGGCCAGATTGTTGTACTGGCATCTGCTGCTTGCTGTTCACATATTCAATGACAAAGTGTCGAATGGCCAAAATAATTTCCATGTAAATTCCGAAATCCAAAATTGTTTAGCTGTGTGGGTGAGTGTATGTCCGTGTGTCTGTTGGCTTGTGCGTGTGTGCTCTAAATGCATTTTAGATTTGCAAAGTACGACACATTTCGGTAATATCTGGGAGTTATGGAGCTAGTTGGGTCTTTGTCAACTACTTGATGAGCTCTACATAAGTTTGAGTATTTAATTACATTTCAATGTTGTTCCAGTGTCTCGGCTTTGTTTGCCAAGTCTCGCATTTTGCGACATTAATCTACTCTCTGCCTGTTGGGCTGCCTTCTTGATTAATTTACTACCCAGCCAGGCTTAATGTATGATCCTACCCACCTTCCACACTTGTTGCTTTGTAATTGCTGCCAAATGTGCCCTTGAGTCTGTAATAAGTCTTTAATCAGCTGCGGCTCCTTCTTTGAGATTTCTAAGGCTTTAAGTCAAATGAATTTAGCCTTTTACTTTTGAGAAAAAAAGTCTGTGATCTAAATGAAATTATTAATAATAAAGAGTTTTTAATATGTGGCATTTAATAAACTGATTAAATAAAACCACAATAAAATAAAATAATAATATATAAATACATACCAAAATTAAATGAATTAATTAAGTAAAATGCTAATTAACATTAAATAAATAATAGACTTCAACAAAATCACCTTAACTCTCCCATGAAGACTTTTACTTTTATCATATTTAATATGCCAAAGAATTTTAAAATATTTTAATTAGTGTCTTTTATTATATTTAAACTGCCAAAGTATTTGAAAACTTTTCTCTTCAATTTAAATATTTTTCACACAGGTTAAGCAGCTTGGCAACAAATCCGTTTCCTGGATTCGTCTACGTGATGGCCACATTCTCACAGTCGACAGGTAATTAATACCCAAATATAGCCAAGTAAAGAAATAATTATAAGTATCGAGTTCAAATTAATTTTTGATGGGCTTCATCTGCTCAATCGTCAGGTAAAGGATTTGCTCGCCTTGACACCCAATGAGGAGATGCTTCGAGTATATATGCATTAGCTGGATATTCATTACAAAACGGCATTTGAAATGCCATGGGATTATGAATATATTAAATCGAATCAATTCAACCTAATGAGAGTATTCATCATTATTATTGCATTGTGCCCGATGCTTCGCTTAGGCATCTGAATACTAATGAATCGACAGTGAATGTCTGCAGTCTGCAGCCAGTTGATAGCTTCAAAATATCTGTTCTCGTCAATGGATCTACCGTGAGTGGGCGTGTCTACGTGTGCGGGCGACAGCTGAGACATGCATTGATGGCTCAAATTATTTTAGGCTCAAAACATGGGAATAATTATACCTATTTTCACATGATTAGCAAAATATACTTGCAGAGAATCCTGCTATGGACTGAAACTGATTATGGACTTGCATTTAATATTCAGCCCTGTTGCTATACTCAATTCACCTAGATTTGATAGTTAATTGCAAACATTTGAGATTAATTAGATAGATAGATTTATATATTTAAATATATTATTTTCTTTTAGTTATATACAAGATGGAATCATTTGCATTCCAAAAGGAAGAGTGCTTGATTGAAATACTGTTTCAAAGGGAATTTCTCTTTCTCAAACACACTTCATTAGTTGCAAGAAATACAATGATGGAGCATAAAGAGTATTTATTTATTGCAAGTGGAGAGTATGCTCACATGTGTGCGAAACGCAGCTGGAGGGTGTCAGTTTTTGTATTTTTATTAGACCCTTGTCTCTGAAATTGTCGCAATGCAAAAACAATTTGCAGTAAATTGAATGAAGTGTGCCAAGTGGCAACGTGTATTTCAATTTCAATCAGTGTGTCCAATAACAAGCCAAGCATTGCGTCAGGTGAGTTCTCAATGAAGCCAGTTTGCAACGAGTACGCATCTCTCTTACTCTCTCTCTCTCTCTCTATATATATATATTGTATATGTCCCTCTCTCTCCCTCTCTCGCTTTGTGTGTGTTTGAAATGCCCTTTCATGCTCTGACATGCGAAGCGGAAACACAAGTGTGTGCAATTTCATTGCATATTTCGAAATCCAGCAAAAGTTTGCTTCAAAGTGGCTACGTCTTCAGCTGGGTTTTCCTACTCCGTTTTCCATTTTTTCTTTCTTTTCGGACTGCATGCTGTTTTAGTCAACGTTTGCTGTGTGTGTGTGTGGGGTGGAAACATTTCCAGCTTATTACTTTGATAGAAAAGTAAAACCAATGAACCTTTCACATTAGATAAGGCGGCTGCCTGTTTGTCTGCCAAACGGATGAATGGCTGCTCCCGAATGAATGAGTGTCCACACAGCAAGGATATATGAATGGGCACACTATAGAGGGAGAGAGAGAGAGAGGTAGAGAGAGAGAGAGAGGAAGAGAGAGAGACAGCTCGACAGACAGTCAGGATAGTTGCAGCTGCAGCTGATGCTAGGCAAACACAGGAGGACCATTGAAATTAAGCCCAGATAGTGTCCTTACTGATTGCTTCCTGTGCGCCGCCGTCTGCTTTCGCTGCAGAGCCACTTCCGTCCTGGGTCGATTGTGTGCGTGTCCTTTCCTGCTCCAGTGTCTTATGTCACATTTATCTAGAAACTTTTCTTATTCTGCTGAGCTCCGCAAGTCGCTCACAGCCCGCACACATAATGGAAATAGATTTCAGAAAAAAGTTTCAGCCACTGTCACGTTGCAGCAGCGTCCTGCTCAGCCAGGAATGTGCATTGTATAATAGCTCAAATGATGTGTTTACACTTTCATATAAATGTCACGTGCTTGGCGCCTTTTGTTTGCCCGCTGGACGCCATCCCCCACCCCTTTGAATTTATTGCCAGCGCACAATAGATTACTTCTGTTTGCACTTGGCCCAATGTCCACACAAATACATACGCTATATACATACACACATGCATATGTGCGTACAATGATATAAATGTTACTCCTGTCCTGTCCTGTCCTGCTGTGCCCTGTCCTCTCTCGCCCAGCGTCCAGGGTCCAGGGTCTGGGTAATTATGTCCAGGTGTTGCTTGGCTACTTGTTATCTGTTATCTTCGCACCTGGGATGCATGTCATTTATTTACCTGGGGGACTACTTAATACGCCATCAGCCCGCAGACGGTGCTGTGAAACATATTCTTGGTAATTAAGGCAAATATTTATATATGACAGCTGAATGGAAACTTCTGCTTGTGGATTCCAGCATTAGTTGGGCCAGAGTTCACTGTACTTTGTTGTGCTCACATATGCCAAGTTATGTATTCTCGATTTCTAAAAATATATTCTAGGATATTTTCTAATGGTATGCCCTACAAATCTTTTGACCCTGGAGTTCAGCTCAGTTGGCTATAATTTCCCACTTTAACTTAGCCTCGTCTGTGTTTCACTTTAATTCTTGCCCATAAAAAGAGCGAAAACAAAGAACATTAAAAACTTTGCTATTGCTGTAAAATAATAACAATATCTTTAAGTAAAACTGCTTCAACTTTTCTATATCGTTTTTGTGTTTCACTTTTAAGCCAACTTTTAGTAGAATGAAACCCAATCTCATATACGTAAATTTTTAGTGTTTTATTTATGCATAGTCTGTGTATAGCTGTACTTTTTTGATGTCCTGAAATCAGAAAGTCATGATGAAACTTTTTATGAAATCCACATTTTTTGTGCTTCCTATTGGAGTTCAGCATTAACTGCGAATGAAAAACTTATGTTGTTACAGGTCACTTCCTGACACTTGGCCAAGAAAATGTCTAAAAGACCGGACACGAGCCAAAGAAATGCAATGTGAGGGGAAATGGAATGTTGTAAAAATATGGAAAATAATGTGGGGAAAGCGGCAGCCGGTGCAGGGCAAAACTTAAAAACGAGATGAAAATTATAAAGTAACTACAAAATCTGGATAAGAAATACTGCCATAGTGGAAAAGCACAGCAGTGGATCGAGGGGGTGAAAGGGGACGGAGAGTGGGGAGTGGGTGCAGAGGAAATGGCAAAAGTCATAAAATGTCGAGTTTTACGAGTGCAAAACGCAAGGGTCTAATCTGGGTTTAGTATCAAAACTTGTTAGTGCAAGACGGAAGGAGCGAGGGAGAGGAGAGAGTGAGACATGGCGAGAGGGAGCGGGTAAAGGGAAGAGGCCAGAGCTGAGAGTTTGAAGCAGACTGCCTAATAAGCAATGTCATCGCATGTGTGTGCGTTTGTGTGTGTGTGTGGGTGGTGGCTAAGGGGACTAGGGAACAACGGGGCGTGGCGTGCTACGAACGCTTTAGTTGCTGCACTTTCAACTGGAGACGGAAGCATTTTTGCACTTTGCACAAATGGCAGAGGGAAATTTCCAAGCGAGCGCCGCACAAAAATATTGCAACAATGACATTAAATGCAACTTATTTCAGTGGACCCACTCACCACCCAGCCAGCGAGCCACCCAACCACCCAGCAGCCACCCACTCATTTGCATGCTACGCAATTGTTGTTTGCTGCATATACTTCATACACAACTTTGTTGTAGTTGCAAAGAGACAGAATGAGTGAGTGCGAGAGAGAGAGAGTGAGTGACTGGAGGGTGCGTTCGGGGGGGCCTTTGTTTAAATGCCGCAACTAAATAACTTTGAGTGTCTTTTGAGTGGCCATTAGCAGCGGAGCTTAGCGCGTAAGTGGGCCTGTATTTATTGTCGCTGTTGTTGCTCTTGTTGTTGTTGTTGTTGTTGTTGTTGTTTCCCTGCCACTTAACAGTGTTGCACATGCAACATGCCTCGCATTAGCAGCGCTTTGCATGCGGATTCTGTTCCGTTTGTGTGTAAGCCAAAGGATTTACCTAAGTTCCTTGTGACATTTTTTGATACCATCTAAATACTGTGGGTATGCTGCCTCTAATAGTTGAGAAGCGGATAGATCGATAACAGCTGCACAAATAAATAAATTTAAATTTATATCTACATTAATTCATTTAAATATCTTACTCCATTGCAGAGCCGTGTTCATTGCGGATCAGCGCTTTCTCGCCCTCAAGCAGCCGGATAAATACTGGACCCTGCAAATCAAATATGTGCAGGCGCGGGATGCGGGCACCTACGAGTGCCAGGTCTCGACCGAGCCGAAAGTGAGCGCGCGCGTGCAGCTGCAAGTTGTTGGTAAGTGACGACGTCCTTGGGCAAGGGCATGGACACAGACAACATGAGCATGAGCATGAGCGTGGGCCTAGAACTAGTCCTTGTGCTGCTGCGAGCCAGAGCATATTGAGCGCATGCAATTAAGGCATTATACAGAAGGTCAAGCAGGGGCAGCAAGCAGGCATACACATATAAATATATATATGATATACATACATATAATATACAAATATATGTGTATATAAATGTGGGCAAAAGTTTTGTGGCTGAACCTTGGCCCAGGGCGACGTTATGCGCAACTGAACAGGAGCACAGACAGACAGCCGAAAAGGAGCTCTGCAGCAGGGGACGTACGCGTGTGGCTGGGGGTCAAAGGGTCACACACACACATGCCTGGAGATCTTTGCATCTTTCATGCGGCTGCTGCATTCGCAATTGCTCACAAAATTGCATTCAAATTGCGGTGCCTGCTGCATTTCCATTGAAAACTCTTTTTTGACCAGAGCAATTTTTGAGCAAGTTTTTTAACGAGAAAACTTTTGTGTGAGCTTCACTTCTTGGGTTTGTTAAGCACACACAAACACACACACGAATACACACACACATGAAGGCACACTTAAGGCACAGTCTAAAAAAGTTAATTAAATTTCATGTTTGCTCACACAAAACACAACACACACACATAGACAGAGGCACACCGCACCCATAAACTAACTCAGAAATGACCAGTGTGTAGGCGCCTTTGGGGTTAAATAAAATTGGAATCGAGCCTGTGTATTGCTCACTTGTAATTGATAATAAATGCTTTGAACACAAGCTAAATGGATGAAAGTTTGTGCACAAGTTTTAAGTGCTGACTGAATCTACTTTAAGGAAAACACAGAACAGCTGCAGCAAGAGAAAATTAAAAATAATTTTTAGATTAGATTGGGATGAAGGCGTATTATCAAAGTGCAATTAAAAGAGCTAATAGCTCTCCCTCTCATTAGAATTTTACTGTTTATCTAAAATGAATTTTCTGATATCATTTTATGCTTTTAACATTCTTAACTTATGCATATGCCTTTAGGAATCAAAAGGGAAATTCCTTGCTAATAGTCGAACTGAATATAATTTTATACAAATCACTTTAACTTTTGTGTGGAGCAAGATAACGAGCAAAAACTAAGCAAAACTCACAGAAAATAGAAAAAAAAAAATCTCGTAAGGAGCGCCGACTCGATAATGCGCTGCCAAAAGTGATTTTCGCATTTCCGGTGGAGCTAATTTGTATGCTAAGCACTTGCTCCCCATTGTGTGAGTGTGTGTGTACAGTAGTGTGCCTAACAACGGGACGCCACTGTAAGGCAACAGCAGCGTCCAACAGGTATTTCTGCGTTTCGACAATGCCTGACGGACAACTGCTTCACGGTTTGCTGGGGGGCGTGGCAGTGGGGTGTTGGGGGAGGGAGCTGTGGTGGGCAGCGGGTGTAAATTATGTATGCGCGGCCACATTTTGCGTTAATCTAACGACAAGTTGAACGCATAAAGGATTTCTATGCGTGCCACACACAATGGATGTGACCCAGGGTAGGGTTAGGGGCCAGGGCTAGAGAGCTGCAGGCTTCAGCCATTTTTTTTTTTCTAGTTTGGTTCCAGAAACCGGGCATCGGTCCATTATTTGCAGTCATTTGGCACAGTGTTGGCTTTGTCTGGCTGCTGTTGGCTGCTCTCCTCTGTTGCTCGGCCCTTGGCTCAGCGCCGTCTCATTTTCTCTCATCAGCCATAACCATTATCGGCAGCACCTAGTTGCCCGGCAGCTCGATGCTTCCTCAGTTTTTCTTCTAGTTTTTCGCTTTGTGGCTCTGCTCGCTTTTTTGATTTTGTGCCTGGCCATGTAATTTGTATTTATTGCATCGTTTTGTCTGTGCAAACGACTAAAACTCCCTTTGCATGTTGTCGATTTGCGAAACCCCAGCTCCCTATCTCTCTCTCTCTCTCTCTCTCTGTCTCTCTTTTGGCCTAGCTGCTGTGGCCCGATTGCCAATGTATTTTATGCCTGGCTCCGTTTGGTTTTCGCCTGATGCTTGGCCGTTGGCTCGTTGGGGTAATGGGATCGTAGTTTTCGGTCAATTTGTTATGCCAATGTGTGTGTGTGTGTAAATTTGTTGTTTTTTTTGTTGGTTCTTTTCCTATTGGTTAAAATGTCAGTTTCTTTGGCTCCGGCTCATTTGGCTGATGTTTCAGCAGCACAATGACCAAAAAATAGAAATCTCTGCGGTAACACGATTTATTGAATGTTATATCGATCATCTATTAAAGGTGTTGGATCATGGAGCTCTCTCAAAATGTAACAGCTGCTGGTATTTATTTTATTTTGCACATTTCAAACATAGAAATCTCCTCGAATCCATCTAATCTTTCCAAATACACCGAAAAGCTTTTGACACACAAAATTCAATTTCGGCCCATTGTGCGTTAATACACGCACACACACACACACACCCACACACACACACATAGCCATTCGAAATGAATGAATTTATTTTTTTCCGCATCATTGAACGACAAACTAGATTTGGTTTTATGAGATTTGTTTTCTGCTCATCTCGTCGGGCTGCCAGCGCCGCTTCCCATTCATTTACAGCAAGAATTTGGCTCTATTCGGCCGCTTATTTAATTTGCTGCTAATCTTATATGTTGAAAGCCGATTCTTTGTGGGCATGGATGTCAACTGTTTTTCCTTTTGACGCGTTTGGTTTTTATCTCGCCATCAGGAGTGACAATTCCGCCGTAATGCTTACGGCCGGCGGCTGCCTCTGCACATAGCCGGGCTGCACATTTCAAACTCAACTAATTTCCCTAAAAGCATTTGGCAATAAACCCAATTAATTTAACTTGCTGTAATTCGCTTCACACTATGCCACGACCCACTCCCTCCCTCTTTCCCTCCGCGCGAATTTCTTTTCTTTGTTCAGCTGAAAATTAGCTCAAATTGTGAAAGTTTTCTTCTCTTTTTTCCTGTTTTTCTTCTCTGCGGTTTCGTGGCTTTCCTGGCGCTTATCGCTTAGCTAATCCCTAATCTGAATACTTCCATAATTAACTTAAGCTAAGCCCATTCTTATAATGAATAACGTTTTGATAGCGGTTTATGGCATAGATTTTTTATTTTTTTATTTCATTTATTTATTTTTTTTTTTGAGAACATGAAATGGAATTTTGCTGTTTCAAACTTTCAAACGATTTTTTTCCTTAAAATATAAATTTGATTTTGTTTTTATTTAGAAAGTTTTATCATCTCCATCATCTTTTCTGATTGATTTTTATTCATAAATTGTTTATAATCTCTTATGCTCTGTGCTCTTTCTCAATTATGAGAAAAGTCTGAAGTTGATTGCATTAAAATCTTTGAAATGGAGTATGAAAATACTTTAGTTCATCTGATTGTTACTTAAAACCCAAGCTAAATTCGTATTTTAAATCTCTACTCAGTTTATGCTATGCAACTGCTGCATGGCATATTTATTTTATTTTATTCATTTTTTCAAATAAAAATTCAGAGTGCAAATCCTTGTAGTTGGGCCAAGGGACGGTGGCTAATAATATTACACATCCTTTTGGCTGCGACGCGCCACAGCCACAGTCAAGCAACTGGAAAACTAACATGCACAGCGCGACAATTTTGACAGGCTGACACAGTTTGGTGTCACACCAAAGGCAAAGAGCCTTCACACACATACTCATATGCATACGCATACGCATACGCATACACTGGCACATGCATGCGAGCAGACAGAATGTTGTGCGAATTCTCAGCACATTCAATTTGCGCAGTTTTGTGTGTCTAACAGCAGTGTAAACCCGGCGTATACGTGATTTTGTCGAATTCGCTAGCGCACGTCGCCGTTGGCCAGCCAGTTGGGCATGGTCGGCCCAGGGGGCGGGGCGGGGCGGTCGCAGTCTACAAGAAACAACGCGTGTGATGTGCAAATGTGTGTGTGTGTGTGAGTGTGTGTGGCAATAATTTGAACTTGCGTCCTTGTATTTTTTATAGCATTGGAACTCGCTTTTTGACACAACTTGCCACAGACAGCGGCATAGTTTGTTATGCATGTGCGTGCCTCTCCCCTATGCGAGTGTGTCTGTGTGTGTGCTTGTGTGTGTGTGGGTAACTGATGGCATCAGTAAGTGAAAAATTGAAAAGTGAATTCGGCACAGCGCAAGCTACGCCCCCTGCCCCCGCATGAAACGCGAAGGTGCGCAGATTTACGTGTGCGACGTGACTAGCAGCTGTTAATTCAATAGATTAGCGCCAATGTCACAATTTCACACAGGCACGCGCCGTATTTGCCATTGAGTTTCACTCGTAATGAGCACCGTCATCATCTTCATCATCATTAGCATCATCAGCATCGTGCTCATTATTGTCATTGTATGTCTGACGGCATTTGGTATTTGTTACAGTTCCTCGAACCGAAATACTCGGCGAACCGGACCGCTATGTCAAAGCTGGCAGCAATGTCGTCCTGCGCTGCATTGTCCGCGGCGCCTTGGAGCCGCCGACGTTCATCATGTGGTACCACGGCACCGAGCAGCTGGCCGCCGATTCACGACGCCATCGCACGCAATTGGACCCGAATCTGCCAGAGGCCAGCGGCGACGGTCAGAGCACGGTGAGTTCCATCAATTGTTCCCTTGTTGATTTTAATTTAATTACACTTGATTTCAAATTTCGTTGCCCGTCTTCCGTTTACCGTGCTCCGTCTACCGTGTTACGTGTTCCGTGTTTTGGCCACGTGGCCGCGTCCTTCGGCGTTCCGCATCAGCGAAATTACAATATTACTTCACACTGCTCGCATTTATGTCACATGCCAGCCACGCCCCAAAGACGTCTTAAAGGCAAATGTCGTTGAATTGCTGCAAATTAGAGCTGACCTCTTGCCAGACGTGACTCGCAGCCTCGTTAAATATTTAGCCAACGTGTCGCTGAGCTTGTCATAAGCGCTGCTCAGAGCTGACATTTCAATTGCGATTTATCTTTCGCTGCCACGCCGGGGAGTTCTTTGCCTTGCATAAATACATTTATTGTACACAAATTTACATTTCTACATTTCTACATTTCTATTTCTCTCTTCCCGGAATCGCACACCATTCTCACTCAGATCGGCTCATTAATCATCGAGTCGGCCAAGAAGCGCGACACTGGCAATTACACTTGTAGCCCGTCAAACAGTCCCAGTGCGACGGTCACACTCAACATAATAAATGGTAAGTATAATACATATATTATATTATATGTATATAGAATACTCTTATATATGCAATTTAAACTAAAACTAAGGCGATGAATGTTTAAAGCTGCCGAAAGCGAGCTGCAAAAGTACTTTTTTATAGGCAAACTTTAAACCCAATCGAGGCAGATGGAATCTATTTCATATTTGAATACAGATGAGATAAAAAAGACTCTCAACTCTCTACTAGTACTACTTCTACTACTACCATGCATATAAGACGACGCTCAACTTATGTCTAATACTCCATTTGTATTGCTTCTTTCTAGGAGAATCATCGGCCTCGGCTGTGACGTCATCGGCCCCCATCACACGTGCGTACACACTGTGCATTCTGGCGTTGCTGCTGAGTGTTTTCCTGATCGGCGTGGGACAACCGACATGACAAGTCCAGGGGGGAGGCGAAAAGCAGCTGAATTAAAGCAAAAGCCAGAACTAGGTGGAAAAGTGAACAAAAAGAAAAACGCAGCCAACAAACGTATAGAAAAAATCAGATTATATAAAAGCTAAATCGAACAAGAAATATGCAGGAAATATTTAAAAAGAAAAGTCGAGTGCATATTGTAATTGTAGTTGATTTTATCTGCTAACTTATCTGTAAGTAAGAAAATACTCATAAAAGCAAGTCGAGACAAAAGCATCTGACTGGCAGCAATGGTAAGAGAATGCAACTAAATTGTAAGTACTACGAGCTCTAAGCAACTAGTCCTAGACCCTAGCCTAGGCAGGCGAACGTATGCACACACGCACTTATATAAATGTATATATAAGTTTACATTTATACACTGGCATTTGGTTGTTGTGTATTTGTGTGTGTGTGTGTGTGCGTGTGTTTGCAAAAATGCATAAACGTAAATATTTATGCAACATCAAATGAAATTGCAAGGATATTCTTATCAGCCAAAGCATTGCTATTCAGACAAACGGAAGGAAAGCGAACGAGTCCAGGCTCCAATCGAATAAAAAATCATTTTTGATATTTTCCAATAAAGCGCATGCAGTTGGTCAACTCGAATGCATTTTCATTGCAAAGTATTTACGAGTGTGCTCAAAGAGAACGAGACAGAGATAGAGGGAGTCCAGCATGGCATGCTGCATTATTCAAAGGCTATCATGTGTCCTTTACCTTGTTTGTCTTCAATTCAGTTCAGCTCTGTGCATTGCATTTGAAACATTTCTCAATAGCCGCAGCACTTGGCTGCCCCACAGTTCATTTATTCTCAAGCACAAATCAATTTTATTAAAAAATAAACGAAGAAAGCTATTCACCTAAGCTGCCAAATCGATTGAAAGCTGTTAACAATAATTTCAAATTTCTCGTTTAAAATGAATGCATTCGAAATGCTTTGGCACGAGCACAGAGAACTATGCAAAATATTATTTCAAATGCCATGTAATATTCATTACAATATTTTTACACAGCTCGAACTTAATTTGCGTTACGTTTGTTAAGTCATAAATACAGTTGAACAACCATATTTTGCTGGCTCTTATCTCGGCATAAAACATGTTCGAAACAAACAAAATTTACATAAAATAATTGAAAAAATTATGACAAAAAAAAATAAATATATATATATATATACATATATATATTGATTGAGAGACTCACATCAATTTGTATGTTAGCATTAAGATATGTGTATATAAAAAAGATGAAAACAACTCTATGCTGGTATGTGTATAGCAAGCATGTAAATTAATTGATTATAATGGAATAAAAAATATTACAAATTCTCTATACATAGATATATAGATATATTGTATGTGTAGCACACAAGAGTTAAGCGCGGAGTATTCGAAATACTTATAAATTGCATTTAAAATGTTATGAAACAACAGCCAGAAAATCTCGTAAAATTTATACAGAGTGCCGGGTTCATTGTGTATGAAGCAGCAGGCGAATTGCATCGATTTAAATTTATTTACGTCATTTTATAATTGTTGAAAAGAGAAATAAAACACAGCATAATATTTATGTACATGCACAGATCCATAAAAAATTCCCAATTTAATATGAATAAAGGAAATGTGTCTTTTATTTGGATTTTGTGCGCAGCGATTGCAAGTGCGAAAAAGAAAGCCAACAAGTTAATGCGCGGAAAAAAAAAACAACAATTAAACGCTTAATTGCAATTAGCCGCTGCACAAGAACTTAAAGTCCAAATAATCGAATATATATTCATTATATGCCATACAAATAAACACACATACAGACACACACAAATACATATATATGTATATATTTATATATACAGTGCGCATCGCCTGGCAGTTGTCATCACGGGGCGTAGCCTGTCGCTCATTAATAAAATCCAACCACAAGCAGCTGCAACTAAATGAGGCAACAACACTGTGGTGAACAGCCAACTCTCCCACACTCTCATCCTCACCTACATGCTTCGGATCGTGATTTTTGTTGCTGCTGTTGCCTTTCATACTTCACACTCTTTTCAAGGCCTCTGCAAATAAACACGTATCAAATGCTTGCGGTCTCTGCGGTCAGCCGTCTTTGAGCTGCAGCAAAGTTTGAACCCTTCACGCCTCGATTTTAATTCCGTTTAATTGAACTCCCCGCTCCACTTAAATAGCTAACTACTTAATCCAACACCCACTTCAATGTTGAGCCATGCATCTTAGAGCGTAAGTCAAGTCGATGGTATAGCGAATATATATAAATACTTATATATATATATATAATTAACTATAAAACGAAATCAAAATACATTTCTAAGTCCTTAAGTGTTTTTCATAAATTTAATTAAAATGTGACCCGAGGCCAGCTTAGTCACATCTACTTAATTAAACTAATTAACTTAATAATCGTCTGACGCCCTAATCGAAGCATGGCAAATGCAATGCAAAAAAACAAAATATAATTATAATGAAAAATAAAATAAAATCAATACGAAAAGAAAATGCATTAGCAAAACTGTTACAACTACTTAACTGTAAATATAACACACTTATATACAGATATATGCCACAATAGAGAGCGAATGCATAATACGAAAAGATAAATTTTAACAACGTAAAAATAATACATATACACTATACATATACATACATATACAGTTATGTGCGAACATATAGCGAAATTACCGTTAAGTACCAACTAATTACAGCAACAAAAGAACAACAACGTACTTATATATGTAAACGAAAATAAACTATGTGAAAACTCTCAACTGAGAAAATTTATTGCATTGAATAAATAATAATCTGAATAATTAACTAACAAACACAGAAATCATTTTTCATATCCTGATCGACATGAAACAAATTGGAGTGAAATCTATGCTAGAAATCGGAAATGGAATATATTGTCACAGATCAATCGGTAAGCTGCTCTACATACTTGAGAAAAACTTAAGCTTTGAGTAAGTTCTGTTACTCTTCAGCTTCTCTTTGTTGGGAATATCGAATAGAGCCTAAGGGTTGAAGAAATTGGAGTTATTTTAATTTAAAAATATTAATTTAAAGTATAGTTTATACTCTTACCCATTTAATTTACTTTCAGACATTTCCTATCTATAAAAATATAATTTTATATATAAATAATTTTAGTAAAAAAATAAAAATTAATAATGCCGGGCTGCTCAGACGGACAGTCCATTGCCTCGGCCAGTTTGTGGGCCAAGGTGTAGATTGTGTCGTCGTCGTTCGTCAGAAGGCGGCGTGTGACATCCACGATGTTTATGTTGCAGGCCAGCTGGATCAGGCAGTTGGCAGGAGCTGCAGTAGAGTCTCTGATTGGGCTCAATATGGATTTCATAATGTGGCGCTGTGTCTCGTGCCACTGGCTTTGGCTGCATAGGTTTTCGTAAGGCCCATGGATGTACCACTCCAGCGTGGGCTTAAAAGGTGTAGCTTTCATAGTACATACTCGTCATTGTCTCCACCTTAAGATCGCGTGAGTTTCCAGCCATAATAATCTAAAAGAAACAAACAAATGTATTAAGTGAAGCTTTTATTTGTATCAGATTGTAAACATTCGATTTCTTAAATTGATAAAAAGTAGTTTAGTTTGTTTTAATAGTGATGACATAACCTTGTTCAGTATTTAGTGTATTCTTCATGCATAATAAGAACTATCGATATTTTACGATATGTGGATATCGTAAAAGAAGAGTTGCACAGGCACGCAGAGACAGTCAAGCGATATTTGCAGAAACCTATCGCTTAAGCATAACATATTTTTCCATACCTAAGATCGACAGGTTCAATTTTAATTTCATGGATATACCCAAATACTATATTATTACGTACTAAGTACCTGAAACAAATACATATGTATACAAATCCATCCATTGCATCCGGCAACTACAGAGTTTTGCAAATATTAATACCCAAATATTCTCAATCTGAGCAAGCTCTGGCTGCTGTACGAAGACGTTTTGGGTGCACTTTACATCTCTAGCCAAGCTACTCTTATTTTCCATGCATGACACGGCATTGAGTCATCTTTAATAGTGCTTCCTGCAAACACATACAAACATATACATACAAACATACATATGTATACCGATGCTTACAGTATACAGGTACGTGTCAGCACACAGGTTGGAATTCATGGGCTTGAATGTCGATTTAACCTTCTTCCGGAAGCTTGTAAATACTACGCACATATGTATGTACATAAGTGCATAAGTGTATACTATGTACATACATATGTATGTATGTAGATATTGCCCCGATTGGGCCAAGGTCTTCAGGTAATTGGGATAAAATCGATGCTCTGCAACAAGGTCGAGCATTGTCAAACGGATGCATTCGAAATTTCTATTAACACAGCGCAGCAGAGCATGTCAGCCTCAAGTAGAGTATTTTCATGGCATGACGAACTTTGTGGCTCACGACAGGCGGCGGCTTATCTCGTTACATTCTGACATGGGCTGCAGTTGTTAGGGTCTACGTATTGTCAGCTAGCGGCCTTGGGGCCAAACATTTGTTGTGATCGAATGTTCGGCCAACTAGATTGATTGAATGTAATGAAAGCAGTTTAATTGAAAATGCTAGAAAAGAACTGTGAACTGAAAAGCTTAAATTAATTGAGAACTCGCAAATAGAGCAACAGACGCAAACGTTGTCGAGAATCTGCCATTGGAACAAAAGGTAAGAGTTGCTGTAAAACCCGATAGCAGCTAGTTGGGAATTCATGTATGCATGTACTATATAAAGGAGAGTAAAAGAATCATCTTATATATGTATATATTATATATACATGTGTATATAACATAACCAAGTCCGTAGCTCGACGCGTCGTCCAATTTCAAGAGCTGCATTTAAATCGTGCTCGCATCGCCAGGCGCCACATCCTGAACTTTGGCACGTCGCATTCAAATGCTGGAATAAGCTGCGCCGAGGCCACATCATTTTCAAAATGAGATCTAATGAGTGCACATTCAGGCCAAAGGGAAGCTGGTTAGCTGGTTGGCTGG